TTGTCATTGTGGACCTATCGGTACAAAGGTCAATGTTGGTTCAGTGTTTTTGTTATTTGCATTTAATTTGCCATCTTCACATTGTTATTCAATATGACAGTCACATTTGATCCATCTCCTGCCTATGAAAGCAGTACTTTGATATTGACCATGAATCCAGTTATTGAACGAGCCAGATTGTCCCTTTCTGTGAACAGAAGCTTAAAATTACTGTCACATGACCTCCCGATTAATAATCAACGCTGGAAAGGAAGCATGGGAATTCTTCAGTCACTGAAATACATGCTGCTAGGTTATAGCTTCTAAAGTTAATTCCTCTTTATTTCAGACATCAGTGCAGGTCCCTGCTCCATATGCTGGTATCATCGAGGAGCTCCTGGTACCTGATGGAGGTAAAGTGGAAGGAGGAACCCCTCTCTTCAAACTCAGGAGGGCAGAAGGTGGGTTTCTCTTTGCTTGCTGACCGACGTTTGCACCAACATTTCAACCTTAAAAGTTCTCATCCTTGTTTTGAAATTCCCTCCATAACTGTACTTACGTTTGTGATCTTAGACCCACAACTCTACAAATTATCTGTGCTCCTCTAAGTTTGGGCTCTTGAGGCTCCATGGCTGCCATTAGTGTTCATACCTTCAGTTGCAAAGATCCTGAGTTCTGGAATTCCCCACAACCACCTCCACCACTGCTTTGCTTTCCTCCTTTGACACCCTTCAAAACCTATCTTTCTTTGATCAGCTTTTGTACCTTAGGCAATTAGGCTAGATGGTCAATGACAAAGTTTGCTTTTTAATGTTCTGTGAAGTCCTTGGAGTATTTTGTTCAACATAAAGACGTGTTATATTTTGCAAAATGTTTTTGAGAAATGGCATCTTAAACTTGGGTAACGTGTGTCTTTTTACCTGTTGTTTTTTCCAGTTGGTGCTGCAAAGCCTAAACCAGAAGCGCCTCCTACCCCCAAACCAGATACAGCTCCACCACCTCCACCTCCAGCTGCAGCAGGCGCGATTCCTACCACAATGCCACCGGTGCCACCAATAAATATGCAGGCCATTGATAGTAAACCTGGTGAGTAAAATAAATGAGTTTCACTTAAAAAGGTTTTATAATATCTCAAGTGTCTCAAAACATCACGTGTTGAGTGCAAGTAAGTGATTTATGTTGGCAAATGTGTTGATCATTTTGTGCACCAGAGAATCCCACAGGCAGCCAAAATATAGGTTATTGATGGGATTGATCAATGGAGGAATGTTCAATAGGGTACAAGGGGATTCCTGCCATGTAAAAATCAGCCAGCAGGAATGTAGGTGGTTGCCTTTTCTGAGGGACAGCAGCTCCAGTGATGTAGCCCCCCTCCTGTGCTGCACAACCTAGCTGCCTGGATATGCCTATATGCCCTCGTAAAGCTTGAACCCATAGTATTTTGACTCTGAGGTAATTGTGCTCTTGAGTCAGCTAAATTGACACAAACAACGAAAATAGTCAGAACAATGGATTGTTATTAGTCTTGCATGTTCGTCAATCCTTTTGCTGTAAATGATATTTATAATGCTGTTTACAGTCCTAGATCTGTGATTTCTAGCCACTGCATTTACTAACATTCTTGCTGTGTTTTGTGTATTTAATGACTTGGATGGTAATCCTCTTGTTTTAAATTAGGTTTTGTCTGAGGCTTCTGCAAAATAGAAGATGATATGAATAGGATATAAGCTTTTCACATCCAGTTCCTAGCGTTATCTCATGGTCTGTTTTTATTCCAGTGTCGGCAGTGAAGCCTTCTGTTGGACACCTCACCCCGGCTGCAGACGTGGCGGTGAAAGGTCTCAGATCTGAGCATAGGGTACGTATGAACTTGAAGCATTAAATAACACCTGTTACAATCAAAATCTTTATAAATAAAAGTGGGGAGTTCTGCTCTTTGTAGCAGAGGAGACTATTATAAAAGCTGCTCTTCAATTCACTACTGCATATAAGAATAGTTCATTGTTGGCTTTTGAAGTTTCAAGGTGACAATGCGCTGTAATTTGATCTGCAAATTTGATTCCATTTGCTGTGCTTGTGATCTTGAGTGGAACATGTCAAAACGAAGCAAAACAAAGTTTGCTATTCATACTTGATTCTCACTTGGGCCTCTGCACCTGAAGATATGACTGCACCACTTTCTGGACTGCTAGTGGTACAGTGTCTTGAAATTTAAAGCAGAGAAAAAGAAAGGTCTGAGTAGTGTAATATCCTTTTTGTTGTTGGCTTTTCTAGCTTTTTAGGAAAGGGGCTGGAAACTCTCAATCTACCAAGCTGTAAATGAGCATAAATGTGCACAATGTATAATTGAGTAATTACTGACAAATCATTTGTATAATAATTTTTTTAAAAATTGGCATTTGGCTGTGGAAACACGATTAACCATGATTTAACTCCAGTCATCTTGAATCCTCTTATTCGAACTTAAGTATTAATTGGCAAATAGAATCATGGAATCATAGAATCCCCACTGTGTGGAAACAGGCCATTCAGCCCAACAAGTCCACACCGACCTTCCAAAAGGCATCCCACCCAGAACTATCCCTGTAACCCTGCACTTCCCATGGCTAATGCACCTAACCTATACATCCTGAACACTTATGAGCAATTTAGCATGGCTAATTCACCTAACTTGCACATCTTTAAACTGTGGGAGGAAACAGGAGCCCCTGGTGAAAACCCACACGGACAAGCGGAGGATATGCAAACCCCACACAGACATTCACCTGAGGTTGGAATTGACCCCCAGTCCCTGGCGCTGTGAGGCAGCAGTGCTAACCACTGAGCCACCGTGCCGCCCCACGGATATGACATAGGAAAGCACAAATATAGAAAGTTTGCAAGTTTCTTTCTATATATTTGCTCTGAATGCAACAGTTTGATGTGTTTTTTCTTTTCCTATTTGTTCACAAGATATCAACATCACAGGCCAGACCTGCATTTATTTCCCATCCCTAATTACCCAGGAGAGGAGGATGATGAGATGCCAACTCGAATGGCTGGAGTACCCGAGTGTAGAGACACCCACAGTGCTATTAGGAAAGGAGTTCCAGTATTTGGATCCAGTAACAGTGAAGCAATGGCAATATAGGGGTTTCACTTGAAGGTATACGGCTTAGAGGGGAACTTGTAGGTAGTGATGTTTCCATGCATCTGCTGCCTTTGTCTTTCTAAGTAACGGTTGTGGGTTTGTAAGATGTTGTTGAAAGAGTCTTGGTAAGTTGCTGAGGTGCATCTTGTAGATGATGCACGTCAATGCTGCATCAGTGATGAACTGAGTGAATGCTGAAGGTGATTGATAGGGTCAATCAGGTAGTCTGTTTTGTTCCCAATCCTTCCTGTAATGTGGCAACCATATCTGTACACAATATTCCAAATGTGGCCTAACTAAAGTTTTATACAGCTGCAACAGAACTTGCCAACTTTTATTGCTCAGTGCCGTGACCAATGAAGACAATCATGTTATATGCTGCCTTTCCCACCTTTATCTGCTTGTGTTGTCACTCTCACAAAGCTGTGGGACTTGCACTCCAAGATTCCTCTGTATATCAATACTCCTAAGGGTCCTGCCACTTACTTATACTTTCCTCTTGCAGTTGTTGACTTGCTCGCTGAGCTGGCTTGTTTTCATTCAGATGTTTCGTCACCATGCTAGGTGACATCATCAGTGGAGCCTCCGATGAAGTCATGTTGTTCTACCCTGCTTGGAATTTATACTATCTTTGCCAAAACTTTAAACTTTTCTTTTGCATTTGACCTCCAAAAATGCATTGTCAGGATTAAACTGCATCCGTAATTTTCCACGCAACTTTCCAACTGACCTATAACCTGCTGTATTCTTTGACGACCTTCACTATCCACAACTCTATTGATTTTCAAGTCTGCAAACTTGCTCATGAGACAACTGACATTTACATTCAAACAGAGACCCTGGCACTGATCCCTGTGGAACATCACTGGTCACAGACATCCAGTTAGAAAACACCCCTCCAAAACTATCAGTGTCTTTATGACGAAGCAAATTTTCTATCCAACTTACCAACTCCCCATGCATCCCATGTGACTCCATCTTCTGGATCAACCTACCACGAGGGACCTTGTCAAATGTTCTAGTAAGGTCCACGTCGGCAACATCCACTGCCCTACCCTCGTCAGTCGTCTTCAATACTTCCTCAAAAAACTCAAATTTGTGAGACAAGGGTTCCTCCTGCGCATAAAGCCATGCTGACTATTCCTAATAAGTCTATTATTTTCCAAATGTGTGTAAATCCTGTCCCTAAGAAGAATCTCTAATTCCTCTGCCATTGATGTAAGGCTCACTGCCCTATAATTTTGTGGATGATCTCTGTTGCCTTTATTAAACAAATGAACAACCTTAGCTATTATCCAGTCTTCTGGCAGCTTATCTGCAGCTAAACAGGAACTAAAGATCTCTGTCAAGGCACTGGCAATCTCTTCCCTTGCTGCCTCCAGTATCCTGGGATAGATACCATCAGGCCCTGCGGACTTATCTACGTTAATATTCTTCAAGACACCCAGCACCTTCTCCTTTTATTGTCCTTGGACTTAAATGATTGACCTCCAACAGCCACAACCTTCCTTCTTGGTGCTCGGTTTCAGTTCAACCAGTAGGGCGTTGTCCTCCTGATTCCCATCATCTACAGCTTTGCTAGTGCTCCTTGATGCTATAGTCAGTCAGTTGTTACCTTGATTTCGAGGACAGTCTCTATCACCTTCCCTCTGGAGTTCATGTTTGGACCAAGACAATATTGAGGACTAGAGCTGAGTTTCCCTAGTGGACCCCAATCTGAGCTTCAGTGCACAGGTTATTGTTGAGTAAGTGCCACTTACTAGCATGATCGATGCCCCTTCTATCATTTTGCTGATGATCAAGAGTAGACTGACACCAGTAATTGTCTGCATTGGATTTGTCCTGCATTTTGTAGACAGGACATCATTGAGCAATTTCCCACATTGTCAGGTAGGTTAATTAGCTTTACTGGATCATATTTGCAATGGGCACGGCTAATTTTGAAGCCAAGCCTTCAGTATTATTGCTGGGATGTTTTGTGGGATGAAACCGGAGCACAGTGAGGCTGTGCAAACTCCACACAGACAGTTGTCTGAGGGTGGAGTCGAACCTGGGTCCCTGGTGCTGTGAGGCAGCAGTGCTAACCACTGAGCCACTGTACTGCTCAAGTAGTATCAAGTGCCTTTGCACATTTTTAGATATTTTGTGGACTGAATCAAACTAGTTAAAGACTGGCTTTTATGATGCTGGGGACCAATGGAGGAGGCCAAAATGGATCATCCACTCAGCATGTCTGACTGAGAAAAGGAGCAAATACTTCGGCCTTGTTTTTTGCACTGATTTGGTGGATTCCTCCATCATTGAGAGTGGAGATATCTGTAGAACCACCACCCCCAGTGAGTGGTTAATTGTCTACCTTCACAAATGGATGTAGCAGGACTGCAGAACTGAGAAGGGATCTGTTGGGAGTGGAATTTCTTTACCTTGTCTATTGTACATTGTTTAGCTTCAGCTTATTGCATATTGCTTGCTGCTTAGCATGCAAATAGTCTTGTGTTGTCATGTAACAGCTTTCTCACCTCATTTTTAGGTATGCTTAGCATTGCTCTTGTCACATCCTCCTGTTCTCATAGCAAGGTTTGATGGTAACGGTAGAGTTGGATATATGGTGTGCTATGAAGGTACACATTGACCATAATTCTCCTGCTAATGGTCTACAGTGCCTCATGAATGCCCAGTTTTGAGTTGCTAGATCTGTTCAAAATCTGTCCCATTTAGAATGGTGGTAATGCCACACAAGATAGAGAGTATCCTCAATGTGAGGATGTGGCTTAGCCTCCACAATGGCTGTGTGCATTGGTCATTCTTACATATTATGCCATGGTCAGATGCAACTGCAGCAGACTCAGTCTAGCAGCTAGGTCCTTTAGGACTGAGCTAGTTCAATCAGTCATGATGCTACTGAGCCACTCTTGGTGATGTATATTTGAATTCCCCCACCCGATTCCATTCTGTGCCCTTGTCACCGTTAGTAATTCCTCTAAATGATCATCAACACCTGAAGGAGGGGTCTGTAGGTGGTAATTAGCTGAAAATTTCCTTGTCCATGCTTGAAATGATGCCATGCAAATTCATGGATCTCAAGTTAATGTTAAGGACTTCCAGAATTACTCTGTCCCAACTGTATGTCACTGGGATGCTGATCATGGCACATTGTAAGTTATGATTCCTGGAACATGATTGTCAGAACATTATTTGAGTATTGTCTGGGGCAGCTCTCCCTGTTAATAAGGAGAGCTTTGCAAGGTTGGCAGGGCTAGATTTGCTGTTGTCATTTCTGGTGCCTAGGTCAATGCCAGGTGGTCTGCTTAGTTTCATTCCTTTCTCCAGGCGTAGTAGCTTACCAGGCCAATTATTTGTTTTAAATAAATGACAATTCATTTGAACAGTCATGTTATGAACCAAGAGTCATAGGTAGGCCAGACCAGGTAAGGATGACAGATTTCCTTCCTTAAAGGGCATTAGTGAACCAGGTGAATTTTCACAACAATCGACAATGGTCAAATGATCATCAGGCTAGTTTTTAAAATTCAACTGTTGTTGGGATTTGAACACGTGCCCAGAATACTAGCCTGGAGTTTTGGTTTACCAGTTAGGTGACTTTATCAGTCTGCTGCTGCCTCCCCTGGCGCAATAGTCAAGTTTTGATTCTCTATCAGCATGACCATATCCTGGTATTTTTATTTGTCATTTTAGGAGGATATATTACTTCGATAAAGGAAAATATATGATAGACAGCAATTCTTTGTAAGCTGTCTACAGCAATCTTATTCTTGCATATCTTATAATTTATTATAGTCCTTCGACATGAGGCACTATGTATGTATTGTACTTAACTTGAAAATTAATCTTCTGTAAAAAAAAGAATAATTTTTGTAATTGACTTCTAAATGTTTAGGTTAAAATGAACAGAATGCGACTTCGAATTGCACAGCGACTAAAGGAGGCTCAGAATACTTGTGCCATGCTGACTACCTTCAATGAAATTGACATGAGGTAACTGTTACATTGAGCACAATTGGAGATATTTACTACAAAAATGTCAGCTCAGTCTTTGTTTTATGTGCTTTTGGTTGGCCATCAGGAAACTTTGAATGTAAAACTACACTGTTAAGCATATTCTAGCTTAAGTTTAGATACCAAAACCTATACTGGGTTGGAGTCTGCAACAAATGGAATGAAGTGTTCCCATCCGGTTTCCATTGAGATTGGGTGATCAGTTCATAGTGAATTGTATACTAGCATTAGTAAGAACTGACTAAACTTGTTTATTCTTTGCTTTGAAATGAGATGCAGAAAACGTGTTGCATTCATTGGGGAATGGGAGGTATAAAGGACATATCTAAGAAATGGCTTAACTTTTTCTCGGTATCTAATATAGCAACTCAGACCAAAAATTCAGATAGCATACCCTAGTGTTGTCTGGAAGTAGCCAGCTATGCCAGAAAGCCCATCCTGTAGTTAGTCCTCCCCTAAAGTGGGGTACAATGGAATTAGTTACTCAGTGCATGAGTAATCACTGCCACGAACAAATGTCCCTTAACTTCAGGGCACAACAAAGTGGTCCACCATCACGCTTCATCCCCATGTCCTGTTCTATATATTGAATTTGCTACTTCCTTCTTTTTTCTCTTCTTTCCCGGTACTCTCCCTAACATTATCTCTTTTGAATTGATCACAGAAACCTTCAAAACTAAGTGAAGAGATGGTTTACAGGGCAGGACGTTAGCTTTTAAATTCAAAGTAAGGAAGGCTACATCTTAGACTATTATTAGGCAATTTCTTTCCAAATACAATTTAAGCTCTTTGGCAAACTGAAACATCATCTCCACTTAAAGACAAAGTCGTGTAAATATTTGTGTCTAATCTGTTTTTGTTGTAAGATGGACAGACTGCACGGTATTAATTTAAGGGAAAATATTTGTCTCTTGTGCTGGAAATGATGCTTTTAACATTTCGTTTAGGGGACTAATATGCCAGTTTTGGTTTACAGCTCTTCAGGATAGTGTTGTGAGCTGTAATAATACCTATTTAAACAGATTAGCGAAGAATGCACTTTACAAGACTGACATCTGCCTGGAGACTGAAGAGAAGGAGGGAAGAGATGGGGGGAGAGATAAACCCTCCAGGGAGAAGGTTGGTCTTTGAATGAAAGCAGTTTAATGATGAGGCAATGAAATTTTGATATAGTTAGACTAGAAGATTTTATCATTCCTGGCTCCTTTTCTTGTGTTCTTGCATCTTGGGGATGCATAATGGTGTTAGGGAAGTAATCCTAGAGTTAATGAGCTTAAGTGCAGGAAAACAAACAGGGTTAAGGGGAAAACACAGACATAGACACCTTTTTATCAGGTCAGTGAACCACAGTATCCATTTTCACTTGCCTTTAACTGTTTCGTTGCAAGTTTTGCTTGAAATATGATTGTCATTTTTAACTATTGCAGTATCCATATCTCTAGAGAATTTCATTAGATAGCTTAAGATTGCAGTTTAGTGCTGGACAATTGAAGATTTTTTCCATTTTTGATGCCAAATGTGCATATTAATTTCTCCAGTTGTAATATATCTAATCCTTCTGCAACATCAGTAAAGGAAGACTGAAATCGTATTTTTTAGTTCATCATTTTGCTTTTATTTTTGTATTTCTGTTTTCTGTCTGGAGAAATTTTGCAAAAAATGCAAGTTATAATTGGGATTTAAGTATTGCATGGGTACAACCAAGATGGATAGTTGGTGAGGAGTGTGGGCCGTGAGAGTAAATATCAATAGGATCGCATTTGATCCTGATAAATAGGCCATCTTAGTGAAGGCACTCCTTCCACCTCTGTAATATCACCTCATTTCAATCTTCTCTGTTTATCTGCTACCTTGTTCATGTCTTTGTTACTTCTAGACTCGACAATTCCAGTGCACTCCTGTCTGTCTGCCCACGTTCTAACCTCTGTAAACTCGAGGTCATCTAAACTCTGTTTCCTATGACTTGACTTGCAGCAAGTCTCGGTCCCTCCTCACCCCTGTGCTAGCTGACCTTTTATTATTTCTGGTCAAACAATTTCTTAGCTAAGAAATTCCCCTTGATTTCAAATTCTTCCATGGTCCACTCTTGCTATCTTTTATAATCTTGTACAGCACTGTGTCTTCTCAGTGTCTGCTCCCCTTTTAATTCTGGCCTTTTGTGCATTTCCTATTTAACTGTTCCACTACTTAATTGCCTAGATCCCAATCTCTGGAATACTCTTCCTACACCTCTGCACTTTTCTAAATGTGTAATATTTATAAATATAAATATGTAATATTCATTCTGTGGCAAAATACTATTTCCTTTTTTTTTCCTCCCACACTCCCCTTCCCCAACTTCTTTTTTTTGCCTTCCCCCTCCATCGCAAGACCGTAAGCTTGCAAAAGAACTAGTAATACCACCAAGAGGTAGCCTGAAGCATTTAATAGCATTTAATGAAGCTGCTTCCAGAAAAGTTGCATATCACATTTCGGTCAGTTGATCTTTGATGCTTTTCGGGCAATTTTGTCAGAAAGGAAATACTTTTTTAATAACCTGTTCTTGTCTTGTTCTGCCTCCTACAGTTTCCACCCATCAGAAATGCTCCATGCTTGTAGTTTAATCCCTTGGATTTGTATATGACAAACAGTGCTTGTTCATAAATTTCGCCTGTCATGGAGAATCTTTGTCCAGCGACTATAGATGGCGCTTTTTATAATTGTGTTCAGATTTGTCAGAGCAAGCAAACTTAGCCTTACTGATACACTTTGCAAACATCCAGTTACACTATAAGATTAATATGTTAAAAGATTTTTAAAGCCTCCAGATAATAGAGCCATTTGGTTTGTGGTGACTGCAAAAGAAACATTTTCTATTCGTTAAAGTATGAATTTTCCTGTTTATCACTTGTTTGCATGTTAAGAAATGTCTCATTCTGTGTGGAGTTGATTGGTACAGTTGACGTTACCATGTGTAATGCTCTGTGTTCGTTATGATCACCTGGCAATGTGAATTTGATTAATCAACTGTCCAGCCTTTTGAATCAAATCCGTGCACATTTAATGCATGAAAATTCAAACCAGACATGTCCAAGTCCTTTTGTCATCTCAACAAGTGTACACTAAATTCCGCCAATGTTATGGGGATTTGTAAATTGAGCCAAAATATGGAACACAAAATTATCTGTTTACTTCTCTCCAAAAATTAGCTTGTGGAAAATACATGATAATTTGAAATCAGTTGTTTCCAACATGATATGGGCAGATTGAACTTCTTTAAATTCTCTGTAAGCCTTTTGAATTCCTTGGTGAGATGTAGAAAACAACATGGAAGTGAGTATTCCTGTGAAGTGCGTTGAAGACATAGGTTGGAGAAATGAGCAGATACATATCAGATGAAATTTAATTGCAGGTTCTCCTTATGAGGGGGGAAGTTGCTCAGTCTGGGCTTGTTTACACTGGAGTTCAGAAAAATGTGTGGTGTCTTGAAGTATTCAAGATCCTGAATGGTCTTGGCAGTAAGGATGTTGATGTTTACTCTTGTAGGCAACTCCTGAAATAGTGGGCACTGTAACGTTAGGGGTGGATCTTTAGGATGCAGCGAAATGGGGAGAAGTTTCTTTTCTCAGAATTGTGTGACATTGGAATTCTAACTTGAAGGTGGCAGAAGGTGGATCATTTTAAGGTAGTGGTGGATAAATTTTTGATAGGCAAAATGGAAATATGGAATTCAAAGCATAAACAAATCAGTCATAGCCTTATTGGATGGAGGAGCAGACAAAGGAGGCCAAATTTCATCGTACTCCTAGTTTGTGCGTTCATAACCTTTCTTTAAAGAGAGCCATTATAATCTAAACAGTACAGTTTGAAGGGGCTGCAGGAATGCAAGATCTGCTTGCATACACAAATCTTTAAAGGTGGCAGGACAAATTGGTAAGACCATTAAAAATGAGATTTATGGCTCTATAAGTGGAGGCATAGAATTCAATACCAAGGAAGTTATGCTAAACCTTCATAAATTGCTGGTTCATCCTCAAATACAATTTTGTATGCAATTCTGGGCGCAACAGATGTCAAGGCTTTGGAAAGAGCGGAAAAGAAATCTATCAGACCAAACCATGGATAAGGACCTCCAGTTATAGAATAAGGGATAATAAGGAATCTGAGATGGCTCATCGAAAGAACAGAGAAGATTAAAAAGAGATTTAATAGATGTTGACGTTATGAAGGAATTTGATAAAGTAAGTAAGGGAAACTGTTTCCATTGTTTGTTTGGCGATTGGTAACCACTGACCACTGATTTAAGATGATTGACAAAAAACCAGAGAAGCATAAAAATTTTTTTACAAAGTTGGGATCTGGAATGCATTAACTGAAATTTTATTTAAAACTAGCTATCAAAGTGGATGTTGGAAAGTTTTGCAGACCTATGGGGACAGAGTGGGACTCATTTGAATGGTTCTATCAAAGAGCCAACAGAGTCATAAAAGACTGATGGCAGCCCCCTTTACGGTATGATTCTGTAGTAATCTCGGGGGTGATGTTCAAACTGAAGTTGCAGATCATTCCAGGATTGACACCCTCCTTAAGCTGTTGGAGTTAGAGATCATGGCTTTCACCAACTTCAGTTAATTGCAGATGCTGTAATTCATCATTGCTGGCCAAGAGCTTGTGCACTTTGTTGGATTTCTTGACTTTCCTCCATTCCTATCAAGGAAGAACTTGACTTTTAAAGGATTGTGGAAAAATTAATTTCAAGTTCTGTGGCGATGCCAGACTCTCCTTTTAATAGAAGGGGTTAACAAAAGGATGCATTGTAACACTTAAAACGGCAATTCTGGAAAATCTTGCAACTTCAGCTAATTGCTGGACTCGCTTCTTGGGCGTTACCTGCCTGGGTCTTATGGCTGTATTATTTGAAAGGTGTCTATCTTGGCGTTTGTTTGCTTATCAGTTGGAGAAAAAAGCCTGGTGAGGAAAAACTGACCGTCTCAACACACTCCTGTTTCTGAAACACACTTGTGTTGGTGAGGCATGATTGTCCTCATGAAAAGTGCACGAACAAGAGCAGTCACTTGACCCTTTTAGCCTGCTCCACCATTCAATAGATAATGACTGATCTGATTTTAACCTCAACTCTCCAGTCCTGCATATCCCCAATAATCTTGCATCCCCTTGATAATCAAGAATCTATCTGCCTCTTCCTTAAAATATTTAAAGATTCTGGAAGATTTCTCAATGCTGTGTTTCCTAAGCAAGTTGTGTCTACCAAGTTCCGAGAGAGAGCTCCGGTAGTCTAATAAATGTCTGTGTGCCAGAATGCCTGATTGACAACCATTTGAACATGCTGCACCGTAGCCTTTTCTTTTTCCCTTCCAAGAGCTAGCCATTATTGGCTATAAGTGGTTTTTTTTTCCCCCCAAGGTAAATCTCTGCCAAAAGAAATCCTTTTCCTCCCCTTTACCTTTGTGCATGTGTTTGTTTTTTTGGGTTATTTAGTAAAGGCAACATTTTATTTTCCTATTACACTCTGTTAATCAGTTTTTCATCTTTGTGCAATAAGTTTTTTGTTTTCTAATAAACCAGTGATTTTCTCTTTATTAAAGAAACCTGACAGATGAATCTTTTAATTTTAAGTCCAGTACAGAGAAGGCATCTGATTGGCCATATCAGAAACTGGGCTAAACAATTAAACTATGTTACTTATGTGGTCCATGGAGAGGTCAGACTGAAAAAGAGAGTTCTGTCCTCTCATTTTACTTGTAACACTACTCAACTGCACTAAGAAGAATTAGGCATGAATACTCCTTCATCTGCACTGTCTGGGTAAAGTAATTGTAGCAGCAACCATCACCATTAGAGGAGGTGTTGGAGGTGATATAATAACAATGTTTAACTGGCATCTGGACAGCTATGTGTGAATAGGCAGGGAATAGAAGGATATGGTCTGTGTAGAGGCAAAAGGTTTTAGTTTAGAAAGGCATCATGTGTCAGTGCAGTCCTGATGGGCTTGTTGCTGTGCTGTACTATTCTTTGTTCATAGCAACCCAAAAAAATAGGAGCAGAAGGATCTGCTTTGTGTAAATGCTCTTTACATTTTTTCATGAAGAAAAGTCTAGTTATGATTTTTACAAGTGATTAAGTTGTAATCTCTGTACTGTAATTCAGTGACTTCTAATTTGTATAGGATTACTTTTCCTCTGACGTAATGAAACAAAATCGGAGTGTTACACATCAGATTGTAGCATTATCATGACTATATTGTACAGTTCGTAGATATAAATTTCTATTGCAAATTGGAATGTTTTGTTTCTGTTAGAATTTTTATGAACAACTCCCCAGTCTTTTCCCCTCCCTCCAGCACCCCCCCCCCC